AATCCTACTTCCGTAGTGATACTGCCTCGGAAACCCAAGGAGGGGTCGCTATGAGTCAGGGCTGACTCGACGGCACATAACAACAACAACAACAAAAGTAATAAAACTAAAGTACGTGATCCTTCATTTAAAAATTTCTGAAGTGCTCATTCTTGTTCAGTTTACTAAAAAGCATCCCACATATCTGTTTCAGAGGATAATATGAATTTATTAAAATCCTGACCCAAAATGAGAGTTATTCTTTATTCATATTTATATGAATAATGATGGTGAATTTTCTAATGTTAATGAAGAACTTAAAAAAAACAGAAGGAAGACTCTCCACTGCCTTGTTTATTTTAACTCTCTGGAAACATATTTTCCTTTGAAGTATTTAAATTCCTATTCGTTGAATTTATGTGTTTGTTCAAGACACACGTGTAGAGCAGGGATAATGCCAGTGGCCACAGAGACAGATTGAATTCAACTAAGTCCCTCAGCTCAACTCAGTCATTGACCCATGAAAAGTTTTCAGTAAAAGGAAAGTGCTATAAGGAATAAATAAGAAAAGGATATCATTGACAGATTTCATCAATGGTATAATGTTTTCCAGGCATGTCATTATATTACTCTCAAGTACGGAAAGCTGTGGACAATATTTTAAGGCACCTTGATAAAGAAGTAGGAAGGTGTATGATGCTCACCAATGTCCAGATGTTAAACAAAGAACCCGAAGACATGATCACGTGAGTACCATGGGGACTACGATGTCAACAAAGGGTTAACCAGGACTCCAATAGAAAGTCTTCTGATTGACATTCCCTGTTTACTCTGTGAAGGAACTCTGGTAGCACAGTGCCTAAGGCATCTGACTGCTAACCAGAAGGTTGGCGGTTCAAACCCACCTCCACTCTGGGGAAAACTGGGAAATCTACTTCTGTAAAGATTTACCGCCTTGGAAATCCAGTAGGGGTTTCTATAAGTTGGAATCAACTCGATGGAAGTGGGTTTTAGTATTTATTCTGTGAGAAGTCCTAGTGGTGCAGCAGTTAAGCACTCAGCTGCAGGACTTCAGGGCTCAGCTGCTAACAAAAAGGTTGGTGGTTCGAACTCACCCAATGGCTCTTCAGGAGAAAGACCTGGCAACCCGTGTCCGTAAATACTGTTGTGTACAGTCAAGTCGATTCTGACCCACAGCGCCCCTAGAGGACAGAGTGGAACTGACCCACAGCATTTCCAAGGCTGTCAATCTTCACAGAAGCAAAGCCCAAACCACACCCACTGCCGTGGAGTCCATTCTGACCCACAGCGCCCCTAGAGGACAGAGTGGAACT